GAGAGAGAGAATAGAGAGAGAGAAGAGAGAGAGAGAGAGGAGAGAGAGAGAGAGAGAGAGAGAGAGAGAGAAGAGAGAGAGAGAGAGAGAGAGAGAGAGAGAGAGAGAGAGAGAGCGAGAAGGAAAGAGGGTGGAGAAGAAAGGAGAGCAAGAGAGAGGGAGAGATAAATATAGGGGAAGAGAGAGATAGGGGAAGCGAGAGAGAGAGAGAGAGAGAGAGAGAGAGCGAGAAGGAAAGAGGGTGAGAAGAAAGGAGAGCAAGAGAGAGGGAGAGATAAATATAGGAGGAATATAGGGGAAGAGAGAGATAGGGGAAGAGAGAGAGAGAGAGACAGAGAGAGAGAGAGAGAGGGAGAGAGCGAGAGAAAGATAAAGAGATAGAGATAGAGAGGGAGAGAGAGAGTGCGCGAGAGAGAGAAAGAGTTAAGAGTGTGACAATGAGTGATTAAGGTTATATATGTTATTGGTCCACACAGAGTGCTGCCATCTGGTAAACAACACTTACATTAACGCAAGACGTGCCTTAGTGTACCGCTTACAAGATCAGAGCTGCCAAAATTGATCTTTGTGGTATAGAAAATCTAAAATTTAAATCTTTCCAAGTAGGAATTTTCTTCACCAAGTAGGAATCTTAGGAAACGAGTCATTTAGGCACAATACTACATAATTTAATAGCAGTTATACATCGATTAACGAATAAAGTACAATCATATGCATACCCATTGTAGTGTAACAACAAACACAAAGATACATAATATACATAATTTTTTAGTCTATGATACAGGATATGAGAACAAAAATAATATAACCTACACAATCATTGGTCAAGTCTCCACCCCTAGACTAATGAGAGTCAAATGTGAGTGAATCGTAATGGCGGAATTATAGGCTAAAATCGTACAAATCCCGCGGAAATCTGAAGGGTTAGCAGCTTTGTAAGATGCATTTTCCCGGTCTCGAGCAAGGGAAAGGGAGATAAGTAGAGAGAGAGAGAGAGAGAGAGAGAGAGAGAGAGAGAGAGAGAGACAGATACAGAGAGAGAGACAGATACAGAGAGAGAGAGAGCGCGTGTAGGGTAGTGCTGCCACCTGGTAGATGCCACGTTCATTAATTTAACTTGGTACGTAAACCTTGCAATTCACACACCAACCCGGGCTATAGAAGATAAGAACTAAAGTCTTGCACACATCTATACTAGAGAATATTCATTTACCCATCACTATACAGGGTTCTCCCTAGGAATTTCAGTAGGCATGTTGAGGAATCAGGCAATACATCCCTGGGGCCCGTTGTCAGAAACAAAATTAGTCATTAACATTAACTTAATTAGTCTTAACATTAATTAGACTAAACATTAATTAGTCTTAACATTAACTTTTTCTCTTGGACCGTCGACAGAAACGCTGCGAAGTTACCTGAATGAAAAATCGTAGCAGATTTCCTGATAACAATACGAAACAAAGCGCTGTAGACGGTCTACGAGAAAATGTTATTGTTAAGACTAATTTTGTTTCTGACAACGGGCTCCAGATTGCTAATTGAATCACGCGGGTCGTTAGCGGCCCCAATACACAGGTAAAGTCATGTCATACATCAAGCTGTGAAAACACAGCATGACTGCAAAATTTAACCACAGCCGGAAACTAAGGGATGTTGATTCGGCACTTAAAGTGATTACGTCACCGTACATAGTAAGTAACAAATTATGTCCACTTTTTCACAAAATGTAAGCGATTCTGTTCACTTTTTATGGTTAATTTGCTGCATTATACTTCCTATTTTGCTATTCCGTTCGACGTGAACAAACACTCGGGACTCATGCACAGCCCATAGCAAGCATTTAATGTCATGATAAATATATCAAATTGCCCAGATTTTTTAGATTTTGAACTAGAAACAATCTCATCAGGTAAAAATTTGAGGATACATTTAGTCCCGTTATTACTTACTTTTCATGTAAAAAAATTGCAATTTTTTTTTTACACATATAATACCATAGAAAATTCATGACGTAGACAAATTAAGGAACATCGAAGAATTTAAGGGACGTCACAAACTAGCTCCGGTCACGAACAGTCTCGGGTTAGCTTAACCCTAATTACGAAATGCGCAGCGTCTATACGAGTACCACACGCTCAACGCTTGAGCGTTTCTGGAACGTAAGTGTCGCATTGTATGTACGCATCAACGTAAATACTCATTCACTACGCCGCCTATCGCCGGATTAAGGAACTATGCGCTACCTCGGGTTAACACCGTCTATACGATGCTAACCCGAGACAGATCTTAACTCGGGTTAGCTTAACCACCTCACATCGCGAGGTTAAGCTATTCCGGGTTAAGGCTGAACCCGGGTTATCTTAACCCGGGAAAAGCCCTCGTGTAGACGCTTATCCCGGAATAACAATCCTCGTGTAGACGAGGCTACCGGCTACATACAATGCTAAGGCGGCTTACCTGCAGCTGGCGGTCGAACAGACGCTGCTCGCTCGTGTCGCAGTGTGGACACGCGCAGTCGAAGAAGTACTGCTGCCTGAGCGCGGCCCTGCGCTCATCGTAGTCCATGCGCCGGTAGTCAGGACCTAGGTGAGCGTGAAGCGCACCGATCATTACTTACACACTCACAGGCTAGCTGCTTAGTGGCCGCTAGGTGAGGCCACCGGATGCCGTGACACCACGCCTAGAAGTAGCGTGGTATAGTCGAATAGGTTGAGATGAGTTTTCTCTCGCTCTCGCTCTCGCTCTCTCGCTCTCTCTCTCTCTCTCTCTCTCTCTCTCTCTCTCTAAGAGAGAGACGGGTGAGGCATGGGAGGAGCAGGGGGAGGAGTGCAGCAGACAGACGGGCGCCGATAAGGAAGGTTAGCTGACCTCTCAGCTTACCGCGAGCGTGCTGATCGAAAGCCAGGATCACCGCCACGCGAGAGTACGCTCTACGGGCAGTATTCGCTTACACACCACTGACATCTGCCGGCAACATCCCGAGTTAAATCGCCGGGTTTTGTTTTGTGTTACATGCATAAATCCTTTGTGGGTTTCAACACTGGTGTTTACTCCCTGTTAGATTACGTTATGCCAGACACCGTCACTTACTTGTAGCTGGACATTTAGCAATCTTTTATGGATATTAAAATGGAGACAAATTTGCAGTAGCAGTTTGTTTTAAAGTAGCATTAACAAAATAAAATTGAATAAATCAAATGTTACGCCGTATTGTGGCACCATTGATACCAAATGATGAGGGCCAACAAAATAACGACTATTTTATCGTATTTAATAATATTAAACGAACAGTTAATATTAACAACAGTTAATATTAACAACAGTTAATATTAACAACAGTTAATTGAAGTTAAGTCGCTGACGCGCACGCCAGCAGGGGGCGCCAGCCTGAGCTCACCTCTGAGCGCGTGGATGCGAGCGATGGCGTCCTGCGTCTGCGACAGCGAGCGATTGTGCTTCCACATCGCCCTGCTCTGCAGCTCGTGGCATCGCTCGAGCAGCCGCAGCTTCCGGTCGTCGTCGGCGACGGAGAGGGCTTCAACGCTGAGCTCCCGCGCCTCGAGGACCAGCTGCAAGAATCATCACACCGATGACCGCCGCGCCGGGAGAACACGCGACGACTCAGCGCCACCTGCTGGCACCTTTAAGTACTACAGATCGCTGGGGAACGTCTGACGCCATCTGGTGGCAGTTACGGACGAGATAATTTCTCTGCAGTAATTTCACGGCGTTTTCTTCACAGAACAGTTTTTTTGTTATAACATTTCGTCATTTCGTTTCATCTCGCCTATGTCGTCGCATTTCTGAGCACCAGCCGCCGATGACGCCGTCACAGCGTTAGCGGACGGGCTGCGTCGCCGACGGTGACACAAATGTGATGTCGTGTACGTCATACGCCTGCAGGTTTTCGGGATTGGTTGGAAATTTTGAGAGGCACTTGTTTTGAAAAAGAAAAGGAGAGCGGGGTGGTGTGAGAAGAGTGGAGTTGTTGATGTTTTTGTGAATCCGGGCAACGTCGTGTGTGACAGACGACTTCCGCTACTTTGGGCCACAATTAAAAAAAATCTTTGTTTGCCCTCACCCAACCCAGGCTGAAAAGTTTGGGTAGGTAGGTAGGCTTTTTTTTTAAGCGGTCTTTTTACAAATTCAGCATGCTCTGGCATGTGTCTACATGCTCGGGTGTGCTTGTGTGGAGATACCTGTTATGTTGAATGTTTCTTTTGCTTGGTACATAATACAATGTATTGCCTACAGGATTTATATAATGTACAGTGATACAATTTGTAAAAAAACACAAAATCATTAAAAAAATTCGAGTCGGCCCCTTTTTGTCGGGTCGGTCGGGTGAGGGCAAACAAACAATATTTTTATTATGGCCTTGTGTCGTCATCGTTCACTAACCTTCTTCTTGCTGTCGATGCTGTCCTCACTCTGTGCGGTGCTGCAGTGCAGACAGAGCAGCTGCGTGCAGGGAGGAGCGTCAGGGCTGGCTAGAGGTACGGCTCCGTCACACTCATCACAGCTCAGCGCCTGCTCACAACACCAACAACACACACATACAACATTAATAACTAGTAACGGACAACTAATTATTACCTAATTATCAACTATTCATCATTACTATACAGTATAGATATATAAATACTACTACTACTACTACTACTACTACTACTACTACTACTACTACTACTACTACTACTACTACTACTACTACTAGTACTACTACCACTACTAGTAGTAGTAGTAGTAGTAGTAGTAGTAGTAATGAATACTAGCAAAGTAGTAACAGCAGTACTACATGAATAGTAGTAGCGGGAGTGAATAATGGCAAATTATGATTAAATGAGTGATTATTTACTCCTGGTAGTAGTAATATATCTTTTGGTACTATACTAGTTTAATAATAATTATACTACTAGCAACTAAGACTAGTATAGTAGTAATAATATGTATTTTATATTAGTATATGTAACCATGTATTTTTAGTGATACGATAAGTTCGTTGCATAAGCTGTGGACACCCTACGCGATCACAGCACAGCACCGACCGGCTCAATCGGGCGACTCTGTGGACACACTACACGACTGAGTCGAGCGACTGTGGATTTTCAGCACACTGATTGGCTGATGAATTGTACAATCGGCCAGCTCAATCGCAGACCCGGGCACACTAGGCGATTGCAGTCGGGCGGCTCAAATAATTATCAAACATGTTTGAATCGGGCGACTCGGCCGGCCGACTCGAAAATCGACCGCGACTCACTGGACACACTACGCGAGTTTTCATGCGATCGAGCCGGCCGGCTCGATCGCATGAAAAATCGCCTAGTGTGTCCACCCCTATATAGAGGGCACGTCGACTTCCGCTCCCGCATGTAACACACGTACTGTTGTTGTGAGTGTTCGCAGCGGCTCACCACTAGATGTCACCACTGTGCTGAAGCTGATAAAGTGTAGCGACCGGATTTGCAACACCAGTATCGCTACTATTTAGCCACTAGGTGTCGTTGTTGCGCGAGGGCTTTTCATAGTCCTTGAAAGGTTCTTGAACCCTCATGCAGTGGCAGCAACACTGTTTGAAAACCCGTGCGTGTATACGCGAGTGCGTGCTCGTGTCAATGTAAGGGAGGAAGACAGAGATATCCAGTCTTAAATAGAATACTAGTAACCTAGCTACTACGCGCCCCCCACACAACAACACACACCCACATCCCCCGCACACCCAACTTCACGTAGTTGTTAGGCCCAAATTGGTGCCCCTCCCCCCGCTTGGTGACTGACTAACCGCTCTGTTTGTTCGCGGGGCTCCTCCCTCCCTCCTAGGAGAAGAAGATGAGAGAGAGAGAGAGAACAGAGAGAGAGAGAGAGCAGCGGAGAAGAGGCGAGAGCGAGAGCCGAGAGAAAACTCATCTCAACCTAATTCGACTATACACTACGCTACTTCTAGCGCGTGTGTCAACGGCGCAATCCGGTGGCCTACCACCGTAGCGGCCACTTAAAGCCAGCTTAGGGCCTGTGAGTGTGTAAAAGTATATGATCGGTGGCGCATTCACGCGTCACCGTGGAGGTCCTGACTACGCGGCTGGCATGGACTACGCACTGAGGCGGCAGGGCCGCGCTCAGGCAGGGGCAGTAAGCTTCTTCGACTGCGTGGCGTGTCAACTATCAGCTGCGACAGCGAGCGAGCAGGCGTCTGTTGCGACGGGCGGCCAGCTGGGGCAGGTAACGCGCCTTAGCAATTGTATGTGAGACCGGTACCTCGTCTAGCACGAGGTATTGTTATTCGCGGATAAGCGTTTTCCTACACGAGGGCTTTTCCCGGTTAAGATAACCCAGGTAAGCCTTCAACATAACTCCGCGGAAATAGCATTAAGCTCGCAGATGTGAGGTGGTTAAGCTAAACCCGAAGTTAAGATTCATGTCTCGGGTTAGCATCGTGATAGAACGGTGTTTAACACGCGAGGGACGCGCATAGTTCCTTAATCCGGGCGATAGCGGGCGTAGTGAATGAGTATTTACGTTGATCGCGTACATACAAATGCGACACTCTAGGCGTTCCAGAAACCGCTCAAGGCGTTGAGCAGTGTGGTAGCTCGTATAAGAGCGCTGCGGGCAATTTCGTAATTAGGGTTAGAGCTACACCGCGAGACTGTTCGTGAACCGGGCCCGCGCAGCTAGTTTGTGACGTCCCTTAATTCTTCGATGCTTCCTTAATTTGTCTAGGCGTCATGAATTTTCTAATGGTATTATATGTGTAAAAAAAAAAATTGCATATTTTTCTTAAGCATGAAAAGTAAGTAAATAACGGGAGCCTAAATGTATCCTCAAAATTTACCGTGATGAGCATTGTTTCGTAGTTCAAAATCTAAAAAATCTGGGAATTTGAATATATTTATCATGAAGCATTAAATGCTTGCTAATGGGCTGTGGCATGAGTCCCGAGTGTTATGTTCACGTACGAAACGGAACTAGGCAGAAATAGGAAAAGTATAATGCAGGCAAAATCTAACCCAATAAAAAGTGAACAGCAATCTGGCTACACATTTTGTGAAAAAGTGACATAATTTGTCTACTTACTATTGTACGGTGGACGTAATCACTTTAAGTAGCTGAATCAACATCCCTTACAAGTTTCCGGCTGTGTTGAAATTTTGCAGTCATGCTGTGTTTTCACACGCTTGATGTAATGACATGACTTTAACCGCTGTGTAATTGGGGCGCGCTAACGACCGCGACGTGATTCAACTTAGGCAATCTGGAGGGCCCCGTTGTCAGAAACAAAATTAGTCTTAAACAATAACATTTTCTCGTAGACCGTCTACTAGCGGCTTTCGTTGTCGTATTCGTTTATCGATGGGAGAAATCTGCTACGAATTTTTCATTCAGAGTAACTTCGCAGCGTTTCTGTCGACGCTCCAAGAGAAAAAGTTCGATATGTTAAGAACTTACTTAGATGTTTAGTCTTAATTAATGTTAAGGACTAAAATTAAGTTAATGTTAATGACTAATTTTATGTTTCTGACAACGAGGGCCCCCGCAGGACCCCAGGGAAATGGTATTGCCTGATGTCCTCAAACATGCCGTACGTGAAATTCCTAGGAGAACCTGTATATGTGATGGTAAATGAATATTCCTCTAGTAGAGGATGTGTGGCAAGACTTTAGTTCTTTATCTTCTGAAATAGCCCGGGTTGGTGTGTGAAATTGCAAGTTTAACGTAAACCGAAGTTAAAAATTAAATGAAAGGCCGTGCTATCTAACCAGGTGGCAAGCACTTACCCTACACGCGCTCTCTCTCTCTCTGTAATTGTCTCTCTCTCCTGCATTGTTCCTCTCTCTCGCTCCTCTCTCTACTCTTCTCTCTCGTGCTCTCTCTGCTCTCCTAATTATCTTCGCCTTTCCCTTGCTCGAAGACCGGGAAATCGCATCTTACACTAAGCTGCTAACCCTTCAGATTTCCGCGGGATTTGTAACGATTTTAGCTAACTAATTCCGCCCAATTACGATTCACGTCACATTTGATCTCTCATATAAGTCTAGGGGTGGAGACTTTGACGCAATGATTGTCGCTAGGTTAATAGTTATTTTTGTTCTCATTTCCAATGTATCATAGACTAAAAAATTATGTACTAATTATGTATCTTTGGTGTTTTGTTGTTAGTAAAAGGAAAAGCAGAGCAACTACCGGTACACATGGGTATGCATATGATTGTACTTCTATGTATAAGTCGATGTTAAACTGCTATTCAATAATTATGTGTAATTCGTGGCCTAAATGAGCTCGGTTTCAGCTAAGATTAACTACTTGGTGAAGGGAAATCCTAAGCTTGAAAGCCGATTTAAAATTTAGATTTTGCTAATACCAGCAAGGAGACAATTTAATGGAGGCAGCTCTGATTTGTAAGACGGTAACACTAAGCGCCACGTCTATGCGTATAAGCTAAGTGTATGTGTTTACACGGCAAGATGGCAGCACTTCTGTGTGGACCAATAAACATCATATAACGGCTTAGAATCCCCTCATTGTCAACACATACTCTTAACTCTTATTCTTCTTCTCGCGCACTCGCTGTCTCTCTCCTCTCTATGCTCTATCTCTTTATCTTTTCTCTCGCTCTCTC